TATATAGTATAGTATATATATATATATATATATATATATATATATAATAAATATATATACTAGTATATATAATACTATATATGTATATATATTAGTATTATATTATATATTATTATTATTTATTATATATATATTATATATATATATATATATATATATATATATATATATATATATATATATATATATATATAGTACGTTCTTGTACGCTTTTTGATAACTTTTATCTTATGTCAGTTCTGTCCTTACCCGTATCATCCGCAGCATCCACCAATAATCCACAAGGAACAGCGCCAGGATGGCCTATACGCCCATCAGGGGTACTTCTCCGACTATGTCAATTCCAACTCCGCACGTACACTGAAGTCAATAACAGGGTAATGAAACCATAATGACTACGCTGGTTGACCTAGGCACTGTCATGGATAGCCGTTCCGATTGGGGTGTGTGCGTGAGTTGTGGTGCTTCGACGTGGTTGGTAAGTCAGGATGAGAGTTCAGAACCTGGACATAATCCCGTTGAATACCTGCACCCCGGAAGCACCAGCGCACACATGCAATCGACCGATCACACGCACGAACCGAGCACGCAGTGGAATACTAGTAGTGTACAAGGGGCTACACCTACGGAAATACATACAGGAGACAGGCTTATGCTTCATCGCAAACAGATCACGCTCAGAAGCACACCTGAACAGTCATCCGCACAGACAACTAAACGAGCCTACGGACAACGCCGTTGTGTCGCTTGTGCTGCCAGCGTTAACCATACGACTGTCAGTGAGGATTGCCTGACCAAGGTATGCAGATAACTGAAATTTTGGCACTGTGGAGGTCTGTTGTGCTTGTGTGCGTCTGTTGCAGCATGCGAGGTACGAATTCGGCTAGTGAAATGATATGTTGGGAATGTTGCCAGTCGCAATCATGTCTGTATGGTTTTGGTAGTTTTCATATTTTGTAGCAGTGACTTTCCGTGTGGCTTACGACGGAGAGTACGTGTCTACATATCTTACCGCTCTATAGGCGTAGATTAGCTCGATCGTGGAGCTGTGGCGACGGTGGGAACTGTTTATGTTTCTTGGCTTCGGCGCAGAATTGTATACAAATGATCAGCTTAGTTGTATGAGCGTTGCTTGGTTGGAACCACGACGAACCTTTTAGAGGCTGCACGGTATATGTGTGTGTACAGTCTTCCATAATGTGTGCGTTCGAATTTTGCGAACCCTTGAATCAAGACGACTAGACAGTTTACGAGCTCATCCACGAATTCACTGAAGCTTAACGAAAACCGACCGAATGCGACAGCGTGTGCACATATGGTGAATGTATCCAAATTTGAATGAAACGTCAATAAAGAGCGTTCCAAAGAAAGCGGCATTGGCTGCAGTATATCAATCATTTCTAATGTGTGCACGGGAGGCTCTGGGTATCGTAATAAATCATTGTCTCGTTAAGCCAGCTTACTCATCTTTACATCCGACGCCATTCTAGCACGGAGAGGTGGTGTAGAATGGCAGATTAATACAAGACTGCGATATTTTGCTATTTGTGCATCATATTCGGTTTCATATTCAATCTACAAACAGAATTCGTGAAGATTCTTGAATATCTAAAATTTGGTCTACTATTTGCAAGTGATATTGTCATAAATTCAGAAATAATTGTTTGTCCATCTATTTGTACTTTCTATAAGATTGCGTGGAAGCTGCCTCGTTATTACATGTCTTCAGAACGGGATATTTGTGTTGTGTGTATCCCGGTCGTTTAGTAGTGGTGCTTAGTGCATGCATATTCACCCTCCACTCTCATCGGAAGTCTCCGGGTCATAGGTCTTAAATTTAACACAAAGGTAAACGTGCAGTATAGGACTGGCGACAGTTAATTGTTACTTTAGCGTATTCGAAGGTTGGCACATCCAAGCCTACAAATGCACCTAAAACACGATCTCCGATGCTTTTCTTGTCATTTGATGCCTGCAATTGTAGCGGGTTAGTAGACAAGATAAAATATCAGGAAACTTCAGACTCCTAGTTTCTTTGACAGTTCCAGCAAGTCACTAGAATTGGAGTGTTGTCTGGGATTGATAGCCACCCTTGATCCTAAACATTCAAATCGTGATCTTCGTCTATAAACCAAGTACATGCTTTTGGGACTCTTCCCGACAATCCGCCAATCTATCCATAAAGTTATTGAACGTATTTTCATCCTGGATTCATATCAATGTTAAAATTCCCACATCAGATCTGCCACTGCCACATGGTCTTAACGACCTAGTACACAAGGCAATTTGTATTACAACTCAATATATTAGACGCCCTCAGATCTCAGACAAGCAATAAAGTTCGCCTGCCTTAAGAGTTCGTCACCAATTCTTCTCTACAGAGACCCAGCGCATGGTATCGGCGACCCACAAAGCAGTCCGCAAACTTGTGGACGAAGGTTATGCAACGCCAAACAATCTGCTCGGGGAGGCCAGGGCATATGCGAAGTAGCGTCTACCATGGCACACGCAGCATGTACCAGAATGTGGTGCCCAACACACAGGCGTAAGTTCTAGGGGAGCGCTGGGGCCCTTGTTTTTGAGTTACACACTTTGATTAGTATGGCCGATGTTATGAAACGCTCATGTCTATATTGCTTGATCGTAGTGGACTGTGACTGACCTAATACAGTTCTGGTTGGCTCATTATAGCTTTCCCATTATTCTGTGACTATGGCATGAAATGGCTTTTTGTACAAGTTGACAACCTTTTGTCTAGGACTGTGCAAGCAGTGCAAGAACCATAATTTTGACCAAATTCCCATATACGTCGAATACCCTGCCAACCTAAGTTGCGATCGATGTCGCTGATGCATCTTGCGGATTGTAAAGTTGGCGTATCTGGCCTCCACGCAGATACTGTGGGTTCTCGCAGCAGCATAGACTCTCAAGCTTGAACCCGATTTTCTATTGTTCTGATTTTGCCTACCTCTACCATACAATAGAGAAACTGGCATGAATGTATACGTATATTCAGGTAGGTCCACTTTGACTCATATTTATACAATCAGTCCATAACATTCATAATTTGTTCCACACGCACTTGCTACCGCTTCAGACGCGGCATCACACGCGACCAAGATTCCTCACTCAGCCGCTTCAGCCGCACGGGCAAGTACTTGGTGTCGTTCGACAAGTCCAAGCGTAGCATAACTCTGCATCACTTCACATGGCCACAAAGTTCGGTAGCTTGCGGTCCTCGCGACACTTCCACAGGGGCTGAGCCAACATTCAAGTGCTTCTCTAATTTCTTCCGACGGAGCTCGATTATAGGCCTCCCTAGGGTGAGTTTTATTATCTACATAACTGTGAAGTGCACCTATGTACAGGATCGAGTCCGGTGGGTTTTGTTATCGATATATAAATGAAGCACGCCTATGTACAGATTTGAGTCTGGAGGTCTTTGTTTTGTGAAGTTAGCAGAATAGTGCCAGTTGGAGAGACTCTATTTGATAGCACACGCGGCCAGAGAGGATACAACATACGATAACTAGCATGGACATGAACGCTGCTCAGCTATCTGTGATAGAATGCCTCTACTGAGGGTTCGTTACAGAGGGGGAAAGTTAAAAAGGGGAGTAAAGAATTCATATACGCATGCATACGCTCCTATGTCCACCGTTGCGATTGAAAATTATTGTATGGTTTGTACAGGTTTGTAAGACACCGGTGTATACTTCCCCTAGAATTAGACTAAAAGCTCACTGTTATTTTCTGTCACGGACACATCGAGGTGGCGCGTGTATATAATGCGTGATTGGTGGTGACTTTAGCATGGCAATTGCGATTTGAAACGGCGGTAGTGTTGTGGTGTCTACCCTACATGTAATTCAATTAACAGAAAGTTGCTTTGTTCCCTTGCAGAATAATGCACGAGACGCAAGCATCTCCCGAGAGAAGCTGTGCCCCGACATTGGGCTGTTCACGCCCGACGACAAGTACCTTGTTCTTATGAGCACTATTGCACTGACTGAGGAGGAATTAAGTATGTACAACGAACCAAGACCAGCCCAATACTTACAGCGGCTGCGGAGCGACGGTCGTGTTCAATTCTGGCCTATAAATAGCAATGTCATGCTCAGACCTTTGAGACACTACAATATACACGTGGTATGTACAAAGATCGCACGTGTAGTGAGTACTACCCATCTGCCACTGGACAACATCGTGCTGAGTGACTACGGGTGTGGACCGCATCTTAGAGAATACACGCTGACCATAGTCTCTCTGTGCAAGCAGGTAAGGGGCGAGCTATAGGATTGTTTCTGACTTGTGTCTGGTAGAAATAACTTTTTTGAATGTAGGGTTATTGGCAATACGATTTCAGGACACGTATGCAGAGACTTACATAGCTATGTATATACCCATATAGACTTTGTATTTATGCAGGATAGTACAGACTCGTACACGGCTATATATTTGTTTGAAAAATTGGTACTTCATTAAAAAACTCACCCTTTTATGCTACTAAATATGTACAGGTTTACTGTCGTTTCATTAAACAGATACATGGACCATTTCTCTCATGTACATTTTCCCAGGTGCAATTTTTGTTTCGACGACAAATAGTACACACGCGCACAGATATGTGGCGCTCGATTTTTTCATCTGGAAACGTACTTATAGCTCTCCTATTCAAAACCCTAAACTCTTTAGACAAACCATTTCCACTGTGAGTTGCCAACGCATACAAATACATGCGAAACCGTGTACGACGCCGACGCACATGCATGCAAAGCGTCCGACAAGTATTGCCGTTAGATAGTCGCGAATGCTGCATAAGTGATGGCTAGGTCAGATATGACTTGTACTCTCCGCTTCTAAACCTTCCGGCTGTGTATCCATGTTATCGTTGGTCTGCAGAGTGTGCGTTTGTACAGTATCAACGAACGTACTGGTGCACTGCATGAAGACGGAGACATAGGCCAATTCTGTAATGAAAACGATTATATGGCAATGGACGCTATGGAGTACACCCATGAGAGAGGACATACAGATACATCGTTGTACAGACCCCTACACACACCTGGTGAAATACGACCACGTGTGAATTCTCTGATACGCACGACAATACTAGCGCACACCAGGCAGCCGGGTACTCATACGTACCAGGCTATGGCACCGAATGCTCCCGCTAACGTAAATGCAGCAGAGAGGGGCATAGACGGCCAAATAGGAACACAAACACACACATACGCACTCGCCCACATGCAAGTGAGTATCCATGCACGAGAGACTGCCTTCAGCCAGAGACGCACACTGCGGCCCACGCCTGTGCCTGTAGGTGTACCACCACAACCATATTCGCGGACTGCTTTGCGAACTGCTTTGTTCAGGCCAAGCACCTCACGTCTGGATATGGTCCGTGCGACTGTTCGCAACAGGTGACTGTTTTTTGCACTCTGTGCCAAATATGAGAATTGTATATTTAAAAGTGCGTATAGAAATTTTCCACACATGAATGATATGTAAGATATCTACACATATCTAACACAAATGCGACGATATATGTATGTATTCATTGAGATATATTTGTATATATGCACAAGTAAATGTATATATATATATGTATATATATATATATATATATTATTTATAT